GACTAAAATTACTTATATGAATTTTATTTAAAAGTAAATTTTTTTTTTGCAGATGGAGTAACGTAGATTCAAATTATATAAGGGCCAGTAACAGATCTGTAATGGGATCAATGTTATAAAATTTGTCAAAACGTTATAAATAATTATAATTAAGTGGGGTCAACTAACCCCCTTCTCTTCCATGTACAATTATTGGAATTCTGAAAATAGACATTTTGAGTTATAAGGTCATCAATTATTAGAGAACATAAGCATAAAAAAACAGTAGTTAGTATACACAAACCTCTTTAAATTAATACTTTATAAATTAATATAGAGAAAATGACTAAAATAAACCTAAACTAGTTTTTATCACAAATATAGACCTTAACAATTAAAATGACCAAAATAGCACTTAAATGTTTTATTAAACATACGTTTATACCCTTGGGTTGACTAATCCTAGATTTTTTTTGTTTAGAGTTAAGGAGTGGGGTTTTGGGGATAGGGTTTCGAATTTAAAAAAAATTAAAAAAAAAACTTAAAATTTGCAAAAGAAAAAGTGTTATTTTGGTGATTTTAATTTTTGAGGTCTATTTTGTGATAAAAACTTAAAAAAAAATGACTATTTGAGAGAATTGCCCATTAATATACACTAAAAATATCTATAAAATAATATAATTTTATAGTTTCAAATTGAGTTTTTGGTTCGATTAGTATATCAATAAATTAATAATCTCTATAAATTAATAAGAATATAGTTTTGATGTTATCCCAATTATTAACTATTAAAAACATCCAGTAATAGTTTTGATGTTATTACTTGGATCTGAAGATTTATCTGGAATTTCTTTATCAAATAATATATTTGAGAACCCGTCAGTGGTAGTAACATGCTTCAAGATACCTAGATATGTATTATATATAGATGCTTATTATAAATGATCATGAATATATAAACAAACGGAAACTGTCACACAAACATTCGTAACATACAGGCACTCCATTTACAATTGTGCGTCGAGACTCGAGAGTATATGAGTAATACAAAGCTCTGTTTAAATAGAAGTCTTTCTCAGACCTAGATTTAATGCATTTTCTTATCACTCGCTAATAATAAGATATATGTAGTGAATGCTTGTTATTAAAGAATAATAAGCTCCAACAATTAATGCTTATAGTTTGGCTATGGTAGAAGCTCAAAAAATTTAGGGAGAATTGGAAAAAAGAGACACTTTCAATTTTTGTTTGTCTAAATAGGACTTTTGATACTTTTGCACATTTTAGACATGTTATACCGTTCTGTAATGAGAAAAATAGTAAACTAAGTTTTAAAAATATAAAAGAATATGAAAATCATTGGAAACATTACTATGACTATTTATATGTTTAAATATTTTTTAAAAAATTGTGGAACCATGTTTTATTTTATGTTATAGCGCAGATAGAATACTCATTCTAGCTATCTACATAGTATAGAAATCGGATAGTAAACTTTACACATAAATCTATCTTGGGTGTATATCACAAACAAAACTTTCTTATATATTCTATCTTAGCTAGATTTCGTCATGTGGTATTCTAACAAAATGTCTTTAGTCCACTTTGAGCACTATTACGACTTATAACAGGGACTCTGTGGACTACCCTTTCTTTTTTATATGTCATAACTTGTTCTGCCTTTTACCTTATCATATATGTAATGCAGAATAATCCATCATATCCTCTCTTCACTACTGTGCTCTACGTAGAATACATATTATAGGTAAATCCTGAAAATATGGAAACTTCCTTATTTTCGTGATTATCTTTCCTAAATCTACTCTAAATCTTTCATAATATCTTATCTCCCACATTTAAGTCTCATGGCAAATTCAAGAAGACGAATCTGTAAATCTGAAAATGTCAAGGTCAAAGTAAAAACATAAGCAAAGTTTGAGGATAAATGTGCAATTAAGCTAAAAATGGCCATTGTTTCTCTAAGCTTTACACACCGAGGAGAAACGTGTCGGCGAGGCAGATTTCGATGATAGCAATGGTTGAGAACACGAGGGAGGAGCTGAGACGGTGTGGAAGAGAGATTTTGTGGTGGAGCGAGCCGGTGGAGATGGGCTGGACACCATGGAGTAAGAGCCACAGTGGCTAGGTGAACACGGAGGCTACTTGTGGTGGAGTCGCGAGACTGAAGAGGGTCGTGAGCTGAAACCGAGAAGAGGTCGTGACAAAAGAGATAAGGAATTGCAGTGGAGGTTTGTCAAATTTGAGCCATCGAAGATGAAGAAGAAGATTAGATATCTTTATTTTACCATTTATTTTTCTGCTTTGTTTTATGTAAATTAATTACAGAAATTATTATAATTCATATTAATTGGTATATGCTAAGGGTATTTTGGTATTAATGGAAATCTAAATCCTATTTTCCTAAATAATCTTCTGAAAAATTTATAAGGACAAACCTAAGTTCTAGGTGTCTCTTTTTTCCAATTTTCTCAAAAATTTATTCGATGCAAACATGAATATCTTACCAAAAATAAATTTATAAATAAGTCAAGTTTGACCAAATAAATTTAACTTGTACAAAAAAATTTAAAAGACTTCCATATTTGTTATTCCCATTCTTCGAAAGTGCGAACACAATATCTATTGAAAGAGTAAGATTTTATAAAAGATTTACTATTTCCATAAAAAGTTAGAAACCAGTTAATTTCAGTTATGGAATTTTTCATCTTCCTTCATCATTGATATCTTTTGGAACCACTCGAATACAATTTAAATTATTGAAACTATTTGTAAGCATGATGAATTACCACAAACACCTAAATAGCAACTAGCAAGCTTAATTAATTACCACAAATTCCATTGTTCAATACCATGTTGCTTGAAATTAATCCGAAAGATCCTGTTAATTACCCCAAATTGTAATCCACATTCTGCGGGTTGTCCTACATTCTAAAAAGAAGAATACACAATCTATAAATTACTAAAAATCTAAAACATGTAGCAATCAATTTCAAACCTATTAACTATATTCTACATATTCATGGAAATCGATTTCAAACTTGTTAACAATATTCTAAAAATAGTAGAATACAGATTCTATTGATAAGTATGAAAAATTCATAAAATATGAGAAGAAAATATTGGAAATATTTTGTTTTTATATTTGAAAATCAATTTTTTCACAAAAAAATAAAGATAATGTGGCTTGAAAATTCTAATTATTATTTTTCTATATTAAAAATAGATATTTTATTTCTTTTTAATTCTAATTATTTTATTTTATTATAATATCAAAAATATATTATAATTATTTTATAATTATAATTTAAAATTTATAAATGAAATTTTAAGGAAATTATTGACATTTTGGAAATAATTTACCCTAATGGTATAATTCTAAAGGGACAATATCTCTTTTGTTTTGTCTAAAAAATAATTTTCCTAACTTTTTTTTCTTCTTCAAATCGGTTTATCTTTTTTGACCGCTTCTTTGATAATGGAGCGAATTCAAGTTATTTGATGAGACTTTTCCGATAATAAGGATACAAAAGATGGTGAATGAAGTTTGTTAAGAATTAGAGCACCTCTAAAAATGGTTTTTAGAGAATTTATTAAGATTAAAGAAAGAAAAAAAATTAGAAAAAAGAAATAGAACACAATACAGTTCTCAAATTAAGAAGTTTATATAGATACTCATTAGAACTAAATTTAGCCACATGTCCTTTTCATTTTAGTTGGTTTTAAAAAAGAAAAAGAAAAGTAAATGATTTAATTAACTTACATTAGAGTAATAATAGTTAGTTTTTTTTTGTCTGGTTAATTATGCTATTACAAATTATGAGAACATTACGTAAACGATATTACAGCTGACAATTCTACATCTCTTATAAGTCTTTTTCTCCAATTTTCTGCATAATTCGCCTTTTCCGGGAATTGAAATCTGAAAATTGCATAGTCTGGGATTCAAACCCCAGACCTGGTATAGAAGTTTTAAACCTTTGACCACTAGGGCACGGTGCTTCCACATAATAGTTAGTTTGTTTAGAAACCTATTTGGAGTTCTCACCAATAATGGTGCTCTTGTGAATTGGTCTCTCAACCCATATGCATCGTATACAGAACCGAAACACATCCCTCTGCCTCCTCTTGTGACCATGAGACATTGCCAAACACATATCATCACCAACGTGTCAATGTCCTCATCTTGTCCGGGTGAAGATGAGAACTGTGTTGTGGCAGCTAAGTTCTTGGGAGCCCAGCTCAGCTTTTGCAAACCAGCCTCTCAGAGTAGTAAACCCGAGTGGACCAACTGTTAGATTCGGGTTTATTATGGGCTTCCAACTTAAAACCAATTGGTGATTAGTGGATTGGCTCAAACTCTTTATATAGTAGTAGATTAATTCTTATATTTCCGATGTGGGATGTTTCTCATTAATACCCTCCCTCACGCTCAGACATCTAGGTCTAAAGCGTGGACAATGCGGGAATAACATCCACAGAGAGCCCAACATCGGTATAGTAGTAGTTGTTGTAGTAAATTAGGTCAAATGATCTTATCGCTCTGATACCATATTAGATTCGGGTTTATTATGGGCTTCCAAATTAAAATCAATTGGTAATTAGTGGATTGGCCCTAACCCTTTATATATTACTTAAGGTCCCATTTAATTCCCGATGGATATATATCCCTAATACCCCTCCTCGAGATGATGGCTCTTATCGGCCAGAAATCTCAGAACTTTTTAAGACAGTTATACTCGGTTGAGCGAGTCAAATACGACAATTATACCTAGTCGGAAGGTTAAACACGACCTATGTACCCGGTCGGAAAGATTAATTAATTAATTAGGAGTTTAGGGTTTTTTAGGATCTGGGCTCTGATACCATGTTAGATTCGGGTTTATTATGGGCTTTCAACTTAAAACCAATTGGTGATTAGTGGATTGGCTCCAACTCTTTATATTGTAGTAGATTAATTCTTATATTTCCGTTGTGGGATGTTTCTCATCAATACCAACATCATGATCAAGAACCCATGTTTCTACTCCTCACGTGTCTTTTTCTCCAAGAAAGACGAGATGTTTCACATCCTCGGATATGGAGGCCACCTCATCGGGTCATGGGATCCCTGCAAACCCAGCGAGGACCCCAAGTTGAAGACCTTACATTTCCAAAAGCTTCCTAAGCTGCCCAAGGCCACACGCGAGCTTATGGATTCGTGTTGCAAGAGCGAGCACTTGGTGGAGTCACCTACTGGTGAGACCTTGTTGGTTAAGATGTATAGGAAGACAGCAGAGATCAACAAGGATGGTATTGCAAAAATTAAGACAAGAGCTTTAATGGTGTTCAAGATAGATGAAGAAGGAAACGCTGTCTACACTCAAGACATTGGAGATCTCGTCATTTTCCTCTCCGATTCTGAACCATTCTGTGCCCCTTCTGCTTCCTTTCCTGGCTTGCACTCAAACCACGTTGAGTTCTTGGAAGCTTTCAACGAAGTCGCATATATCGATCTGTCTGGTCACGCCTTCATTAGCTATATTGATTCTCACTTCCCTGCTTACTATATTCCACCTCAAAAACTTGAGAAGTTGTTTAGGAATTTTTTTTTTTTTTTTGAATGAAATTGTTTAGGAATTGATGGCTGAATCTTACATCCAACATTTATATCTTCAAGAGTGCGTAGATTCAACTCTTATCAGTTGGTGTTACCGCTAAGTGCAGTTGTTTCTGTTCATGTTTTCAATATTTCTTGGTATTTACACACTCAGTTTTTGAAAACTAAAGTAACAATCGTAGAAATGCCAACATTCAGTAATGAGATTGTACATTTACAGCTAATATGAGTTAAGGAATGCTGAGGTCCTGAATTAGTAACAGAATAAAGAACGTCGAGGTCATGTTTTGGTTGATACTAAACTGGAAAGAAGACAAATTTTCAGTGAGGCTTTTCACATCTCAGTGTAGACTTCCTTTTCATAGTCGGTATCACTTTCTTACTATAAAATAGTTAACATTTCGAAAACATGGTAGACCTCAACAAGTTGTTAATAAAGAATCAAGCAACAGATTTGTTAAAACATCTTGGCAATAAAAGGAAACACAAGTTGTTAAAGGCCTAAACATAGGGAAAATTGACAAAATAACTCTCAACTTTCAAAAATAAGCCAAAAAAATCTCCAAGTCACAAATATGCCATTTTAACCTTCAACTTCTAGTTAAACACGAATAAATCTCATACTTTTGTTGACCAAGCGATTTTAGTCTCGTCAAAATTCAACCGTTTAGTTCCGTTAGTTATATTTAACGGTTGACTTTTAATGAGCCTAAAATGGCTTGGTCAACGAAAGTATGAGATTTTTTTATTTTAATTTAAAAGTTGAAGATTAAAATTGTACACTTATCTTAACTAAAAATTGCTATTTTTGTTTTATTTTTTTCAACAAAAAATTTGTAGTTTATCATATCGATTAGAATGACAAACTTAGTAAAATATGTTCAAATAAGCTTAGTTATAATATTTTTTAAATGAATTAAAAAACAAAAAATTGTTTAGTAAAAAAAATTGATTAAAAATATAATTATAATGTAAATCCAGATATAAAATAAAATAATTAAATGCTTCTGTTCAAAAAAATTAAGAGTAAAAACATAAAAGTTAAAGGTAAAACCCTAAACACATTATTGTTAAAAGTATAATCGCATATATTCAATAGAGGATGAAACAAGTGAAAATGAGGAACTCAAGTGCGTAAAAGGGATTTCCAGCAGCTGATTTATATAATTTTTTAATTCATTTTTAAATATTATATCTAAACTTATTTGAACATATATTATAAGTTAGTGATTACAATCGATATGAAAAATTATATTTTTTTCTGTTCGTTAAAAAAGATAATTTTAGTTAAGATATTTTTAGGTAAGCAATTTTAATTTTTAATTTTTAATTTAAGTTAAAATAATCTCATACTTTCGTTGATCAAGCCATTTTAGGCTCATTAAAAGCCAACCGTTAAATATAACTAACGGAACTAAACGGTTGAATTTTGACGAGATTAAAATGGCTTGGTCAACGAAAGTATGAGATTTATTCGTGTTTGACTAGAAGTTGAAGATTAAAATAGTTTGTTTATGAGTTGGAGATTTTTTGGCTTATTTTCGCAAGTTGGGGATCATTTTGTCAATTTTCCCCCTAAACATATAGTATGGTTTACCAATAAAAATTTATTACGTTTGGTTAAATTTTCTTATTTGGTTGTTTTTTTTTTCCAATGCTTGAAACATCTGTCAAACTCGGCAATACAAGTTTCCTTCGATCTTCAAAATGGGCTTTACTGCTTTGGCCTAAATGAGGCAAAATAGTTTCTTATTGCTTTCTTCAGGAATAATGTTTTTAATATTTTTAAAATCATTTGTTTTTTGTATGGATTATTTCGTCTTCGATTTGTGTCAGTCCCACAATAAATAGCCGGAAATTAACAATAATTCAGGGAACAAGAAAATGGCCCAAAGAGAATATATGTCCACTGTTTATTTTAAAATAATAATGATAAAATTTGTAGATTACAGCTAATAGTTATAGAGAAACGTTCAAAAATATGTTTATATAATGAAAGAGAGATAAGAGTGAGAAGTTGTTCAAAAAAACAAAAAGATAAAGAGTGAGAAGAGAAGTAGAGGTGGGGATACGTTAGAGAGTGCTAGTTAGAATTGCCATATGCAAGCGATGTACATATTATAAGAAATGACAAATTAATATGTTGGAACCTAGTGAACAAAGAAGCTCAATTCAGTAAACACTTAACAAACCAACAAAAACCGAACATTTTCATGTGACTCTAGCCAAACACATAACTTCCTTCTTCCACCTTTTTCTAGTTATATATCGATTCTAGCTATATGCTGAAACAAACTCCATGTTTAAGAATATTTGCTAGATATCTTCTTTTTAAAATTTAAGAGAGAGAATAAAACATACAATATGCCGAATGCCTACGAAACGCTTAAGCAGTTATGCATCTATTGTAACTATATATGCAGTTGGTTTACCTTTCGTCCACAAGTAGATGATTCAACCAGAGAAAGAGAGAGAACTAGAGAGTAACGTTATTCCGTTCAATTTAACGTACCATTTTATATATGCAGACATGCATTTTTATATAGCTTTTTCTTCATTTCATATTTTTGTGCATTTCTTATGGTACAATTCTGTTTGACTGTTCTGTTTCGCCTGTATTCCATTTCCTGCTACATAACAGGATCAATAATGATGTCAATACATTATTGAATCGACAAGGATATGTATAGTCCCCATCTAAATCTTTGTTTGCTTCTAGTATAGTACAGAGCTCTGAAAAATTAGACTTCAAATCCTTATAGGAAATAAAACTTTGACGAGGAATGAAAAAAAAAAAAACTTGTTATTTTTAGACTTTATAATATTCAAATTACAGATTCGCCTGGCCGCCTCAGTTTAGAGTTTAAAAAGTTGGTAAACCCTATTAATTATCGACGTCCCGGCTTTACAAGAATACAACTCGTCTTACCTCTTCTGATTCCTCATTTTTCATGTTTGATATATGACTGTTGCATGGTTGAATCTATAATTAGTAATTAGCTACGTAAGAAATGTATAATCTTTGTTACTGTACTGATTTATTCATTGCGAATGTATTAAGTACGTATATAACCCATATATAACGAGATTAAATTACAAAAAAAAAAAAAAAAAGGGTATAAAAGTACTATGTCATTTCCTCTCCAGTTAAGCCAACGTATGTCTCTCCACAACTTATTTATGTTGTAGAGCTTCACATTAAGCTATAAATCTCTCTCTATCTCTCTGTATTCCTTGCTGTAGTATTTAATTCCCATGATCACCGAGCAAGAATTCACTCGAGCATCACGTGCCTCAAGTAGCGTAGGCTATTACTCAGACGAAGATTACACGGACGAGGAGGAAGAAGAAGAAGAAGAGATGGAAGAATCACTTTGGTGACTAACATGTTATATACAATATAAACATTAGAATCTTAAAGGGAAAAAAACTACTTAAATCATTTTAATAATAATAACAACAATTGTGTTATGAAATATTAACATAATTTAAGTAGTTTTTTTCCCTTTAAGATCACTTTGGTGACTAACATGTTATATACAATATAAACATAAGAATCTTAAAGGGAAAAAAACTACTTAAATCATTTTAATAATAATAACAACAATTGTGTTATGAAATATTAACATAATTTAAGTAGTTTTTTTCCCTTTAAGATTCTAATGTTTATATTGTATATAACATGTTAGTCACCAAAGTGATCTTGTTATATTATATATAGATATTAAAACTAAATAGTTAATTGATCAAAATATCAATGATGCGAAATGACATAAAAGTTTGATAGATCAATTAATTAATTTATTTTTATATTCTAGGAGATTATCCAAAGGTGAATCACTGAATATAAATAATAAAAGAAAAGAATTAGTCATTTTTTACTCTAATTAATAATATGTATATCCAAAGATAACATATTTATTTGACTAGTGTTTAATTTGATTAATATTAAAGTATATATAATTAGCATCAATGAAAGTACTTGTATTTAAATATTTCCCAAAGGTTATTTTAAATATAAGTGTTAAAGTTTCTATTAGTCTGAATATATATATTAAAGTCTCAAAGCACTAACGGGTAAACATGTATGAATGCTTGCAGCTTCATCAAATGTGTTTGCATCTGCTAACTCTGTGGTAAAGTTTAATGGCCTTAACTATGGTGAGTGGTTCGAGCAAATCCGGTTTACACTGGGTGTAATGGCTTTGGACTCCGCCATACTAACTGATGAGGAACCCTCGGCTATTACAGTAGATAGCTCTGAATCTGAAAAGTCTCGTTATGAGAGATGGGAGCGATCTAACAGGCTGAGTTTGAACCTTATGAGGTTGACGATGGCGGAAAGTATTAAGCCATCAATGCCTAAGACAGAGAAAGCAAGGGAATTCATAGAGAAAATTAAGGAGTGTTCACAATCGGAATTGGCTGACAAGTCGATTGTAGGAAGTCTCATGAATGAGCTAACTACAAAGAAATTTGATTGGTCTCAGCCAATCCATGATCATGTGACACACATGTCTAATCTGGCAGCAAAGTTAACGACCTTGGGGATGGAAGTTCATGAGCAATTTTTGGTCCAATTCATCATGAACTCTCTACCTCTTGAATTTAGCCAGTTCCAGGTGAATTACAACACCATTAAGGATAAATGGAACTTTAAGGAATTAAAGGCTATGCTAATTCAAGAGGAGGGGAGATTAAGGAAGATGAAAGATCAAGTTGCTAACCTCGTAGGTCTTGGAAGTGCCAGTAGCAGCAAAAGAACATCAAGTAGGAAGGACAAAAGGAGTGTTAAGAACTTCGTGAAAGGACCTGAAAGTCAAATCCAGAAGGAAAAGAAGTGTTTCTTTTGTAAGAAATTAGGACACTTCAAGAAGGATTGTCCTAAAAGGAAGGGTTGGTTCGACAAGAAAGGTAAACATCACAGCTTTGTTTGCTATGAAATGAATCTTGTTGAAGTTCCTAATAATACTTGGTGGTTAGATTCTNGGAAGGGTTGGTTCGACAAGAAAGGTAAACATCACAGCTTTGTTTGCTATGAAATGAATCTTGTTGAAGTTCCTAATAATACTTGGTGGTTAGATTCTGGTGCTACTACTCATGTGTCTCATATTAAACAGGGATTCAGTTCGATCCAACCCATAAGAGGACCTGAACAGTACTTGTTCATGGGAAATAGGATGAAGGCGCGTATAGAAGGCATTGGGACGTATAGATTGATCTTGGACACTGGAAGTCATGTGGATCTTGAAGGATGTCTCTATGTACCTGAGTGTGCTAGAAATCTTGTTTCCGTTAGTAGGTTGGACAATTTAGGTTTTAGTATTAAGGTTGCACATGGTGTTTTCACATTGTACCGAAATGATTACTTTTATGGTAGTGGTATTTTATATGATTCACTTTATAAGTTCAACCTTGATGCAAAGTTTTCTGAATTCCTATTTAATGTTGAAAGTAGAGGCATTAAGCGTAGTGCAACTAATGAAAATTCTGCTTATTTGTGGCATCAACGACTAGGTCATATTTCTAAAGAAAGTACTATGAGGTTGATAAAGAATGAAATTCTTCCTCAGTTAGATTTCAGTGACCTAAATGTATGCATAGACTGCATTAAGGGAAAGCAGACTAAACATACATTAAAGAAACCAGCCACAAGAAGCACTCAGCTTCTTGAGTTATTACACACCGACATTTGTGGCCCTTTCGATGCTCCTTCATGGAGTGGCGAAAAATATTTCATCACATTTATTGATGATTACTCACGGTATGGATATACATATCTACTGCATGAAAAGTCTAAATCTGTGAATGTCCTAGAGGTATTCATTCCTTGATGAGGTCGAAAGGCAGTTAGATAGAAAAATTAAAATAGTGAGATCTGACAGAGGTGGTAAATTTTATGGAAAATTCGATGAAAGTGGACAATGTCCTGGTCCATTTGCAAAGCTACTTGAAAGTAGGGGCATTTGTGCACAGTACACTATGCCTGGTACTCCTCAGCAGAATGGTGTAGCTGAGAGGCGGAATCGTACTTTAATAGAGATGGTTAGGAGCATGCTAAGTAATTGCTCTTTACACCTTTCCTTGTGGATATATGCATTAAAGACTGCAACGTATGTGCTGAACCGGGTTCCTGGTAAGGCAGTTCCTAAGACTCCTTATGAAATGTGGACAGGAAGAAAACCCAGTTTAAGGCATCTACGTGTATGGGGTTGCCCAGCAGAAGTAAGGCTATATAATCCACATGAAAAGAAACTTGATTCGAGGACTGTCAGTGGATTTTTCATTGGCTATCCTGAAAAATCAAAGGGGTACACATTTTATTGCCCTAACCATAGTACGAGAATAGTTGATTCGGGCAATGCTAGATTCATTGAAAACGGTGAAACTAGTGGGAGTGGTGAAACACGAAAGGTGAACATTAATGAAGTTCAGGTTGTTCCTATTGTTTCACCTGTAGTTCCACCTGAGGTAGTTGTTCCTATTGTTTCATCAGAGTTTAATGACACAATAGTACAACATAATAATGTGCCAGTCCCATTAGCTGAAGATACTGTCGATGAACATGTCATAATTCAAGAAGAGAATAGTGAACCACAAATACCTTTAAGGAGATCCGGAAGAGAAAGAAGATCTGCTATTCCAAACGATTATGTGGTTTACACTATTGAAAATGAATGTGACTTAAGCATGGATGATGATCCGATCTCATTCAAAATGGCCATGAAAAGTGACAATTCTGAAGAGTGGTTTGATGCCTCAAAAGAAGAGATGAAATCTATGAGTGACAATCATGTATGGGACTTAGTAGAGTTGCCCGATGGTTTTAAAACCGTTGGTTGCAAATGGGTCTATAAGACTAAACGCGACTCGAAAGGTAAACCTCAGAGACGCAAGTCTCGCCTTGTTGCTAAAGGTTTCACTCAGAAAGATGGCATTGACTATAAAGAGACATTCTCTCCTGTTTCAAAGAAGGATTCTCTTAGAATTGTTTTGGCTTTGGTGGCTCATTATGATCTTGAGCTTCACCAGATGGATGTGAAAACCGCTTTTCTGAATGGTGACCTTGAGG